AGTGATCTTCGAAGAGAGGGACGAACCAGACACTTGAAACTGGATAGTGATATAGTGGACTCTGGTACTTAGATCCGAATGGGGTGGACTCAGCTTTAATATCTATGTTAGAGAGTGTCGAAGTATAAGAATCTGGGAGGAGTTTGAAAGATGTGTTGCTGCTACATAACAGACTCAATGGACACTCTTATTTTAGTTTATTGAGTAGGTTGTATCCTTCATTATATGAAAAAGCAAATAAACAATAGCTTATTTATAATGTTTATTAGTTTGATAAGCTTATTAAAAGCTCTTATATTAGTTCTGGAATAGGAGTTATGTTATTTTTGACTTGATACATTCTGATGATTAGAGACCTTGTTCTAAAAGGTTTATGAATGGTTATTGATATTTGGTGATCTTTATTGATTGCTTTTCTTATATTACTTGGTTATTTTTGATGAAAAATAAGGGTGATGTATTTACTTGCTTTAAAGACTTTCACAAGGCAATCTAGGCTCAATATGGTGTGGCAGTGAAGTTGTTGAGGTTTGATAATGAGACAGAGTATGCAAACAAATTATTTGGAGTATACTTGTCAATCCAAGGGATACAACATCAAACCACACGTCCATACACATCCTTTGAGGGCACTGTTTGGATAAATAAAAAAAATCAAGTCGAACCGTTTTATTGATTTGGTTTGGTTTTTTAAATAACGGTTCGGATTACGGATTTAAATTTTATATATTTTGGTTTACGATTTACGCTTCGTTTTTTTTTTAAATCAAATGGACCGAAAAAGGTTAGGTTTGTTTTTGCAACTTATTTGTATCAATTGAATATGATTCTTGGAATTGTAAACCATTAGTTTTGCTTTTAAAACTTTATTTTTTTGTAAGCATATTAAGTTAATTAATTGAAAATGATATGTTGTAATTAAGTCATTGCATTTGCATATGTTTTTTATTTTTAATAAATCAAAATTTTAAATTTCAGAAAGTTCAGAAATTCTGTAATAGGAGGTCCGAATTTCAGAATTTCTGTAGCTGAAGGAGTTGAAGACTCGCAAGAAGTAGTCGGAGGACTTGATGGAAGAAGTTGAAGGAGGAAGAAGCAGTCAGTCTAAAATGTCGTCATGTCGTCAGTCGTACTATGACGAACAAATGAAATCCCTAGAAGAGGAGTGGCAGAAACATATTTCTTTATTGAAATCCAGCCTTTCGGTTGTAAGTGAAACCATAATTGCTGATAACCGTAACGAACGGAGCTCCGACGCATCATTGATGGACCAATGTTTGGACAACCGCTGCAACGAAAACGGATCCGAGAGCGCCGCTCGGTTCGCTTTGCAGAAAACGGACGGAGATATAGGTACGAAGATAAATGTGCTCGGCCGCTTGACGGAAGAATTCAGATGAAGAACCGAGGTTTTCGGAGATGATGCGAAGTTCTTAGCGGAGGGTAAGTCTGGGAAGGAAGAAGCTGATATGGATCTGGAGAACGAGCTGAATCTCCTCCTCGTCGCGAAGGATGGCGGCGAGCATGCGGCCAAACTCTTCGTCGCCGAGTTTGGACAATCGAATGATGAAGAAGCCCTTGCTCAACAATTTGACCGGATGAAAGAAGGAAAAGCCTCTTACAGGAAGAAGGAAGATCTTCTTGCGACTTAAGATGCGTGCGTGATTCGGATGGAAGAGAACCCCTTTCAGCTCAGACGATCAAATGAGGAAGAAGCTCCTCGCGGCTTAGATGATTACGTTCAGAGGAAGAGGATTCTTGCAGCTCTCATTTGACTTGAAGAGCGACAGAAATATTGCGAAGGGTTCGAGCTCTCCAGGCGGACGAAGCAGTGGTTGAACCGACGATCGAGCGGCGAGCCAGCGGCCAGTGAACGATTTGAGCAACTCGAGATCGAGCTCTTCAGGCGAAGCAAAGGACTTCGAAGATTCAGATCCTCAAAATTCTAAATATTTCCTAGTTCACCAAGAAGATGCCGGGAGAGAAGAATTATGCCCCTCCCTTCCTGCATAAAGGATGGCAGGAAGGGAGCCTGACAATTCTCGAAGGAAGATTTGTGGCTAGAGTACGAAATTAGTTTCTGTTACCATTTTGAAATTCAGAATAATGCGAAATACTTCAGAATATTTTTATTGATATGAACGGGGGTATAAATAATATGTCACCTGATATCTCCAATAATTAATTCATATTAATTATTAGTAGATAATATGAAATAATATAAAATATGAAAACAAATAATTCCTGATATATGAAACGAAAATATCTCCTTATATTAAGGAAATAATTTATTCCTCATAAATTTTTCTAGGAATAAATTATTTCCTATTATAAGTCTAATCAGGAAAGACAGTAAATCCAGTAATTTAAATTAGATTTTTTAACAAGAGGGAAGATATTTCTTCTGCATGACTTTCTTTATCTTCTCCCACTTAGTAGTCTTATAGCTGCCTTCACGTTTCCTCTGCCGCTGTGCGTTCTCCCACCATAAGGAAACACTCTTCTTCAGCTTAATAACGACTAGCTTGACCTGTCTATCCTCTAGGACCTCCTTATACTCAAATACTCGTTCAACAACTTGCAGCCAATCAATGAATTTTGGATTCATACCTCCGTCAAACTCTGGTAAATCTGTCTTGATTCTGTAGTTCTATTTCCTCTAAATGACATCTGTTCTTAGAAATTCTTTCTTTGAGGTATTTAAATATCCTTTTCTATGCCTCCTCTGATACTGGATTTTGAAACGCCTTGGTCTGTCTTCTTCATTGCTGAAATTATTCCTATGGAAGGGATTCAGACCTTCTTCTCTTTCTCTCCTTCACATCTCTATATCTCGATCAATTGTAATCTTTTCTTATGTCAACTCTTCAATTTCCGCAAGCCTCTATTGAAGGCGAATAAACTCTTGCCATATCTCTTTCCGGGTAGGCTCGTGCATATTTCTCCTTACTGGCATAGCTAGGGATTAAGGGATAGGAAAAAGAAATTTTGGTGGGATTAAGGTTTGGGTTGTGGAAATAAAATTATTTGGTGGAGATGAGAGGGGTGTATACGATTGATGGCGGGTGTAGAAAATTTGTTTAGGTTTGTTGATTTTGCAAATCAACATGGGGGATTTGGGATTGGGGGCTATGGTTTGGGAATAGGCGGATGCTAGGAAACCCTAAAATAGGACTAGGGTTAAAGAAGCTCTTTGATACTAAATGATGCTGAAGTAAACCCAAAACACAAATAAAAAATATAAATTTATTGCTAAATTCCGAAAGGATTACGAACATGACACTAAAAAAAAAGGAAATAAACAACAAACAAACACGACAACACAAACAAATAAAAAAGTCCATGCTGTCGGATGGTGATTGGTGAGGAAAACAATGACCATAAAGGTTCCTGAGGTAAGCAGTAGGGTTGGCAACTTGCTAGGTGGTGGTAGGCTGCTGTTGGGAGAGCCGAACGGACTGTTGGAGGGTGGTCGGCGAGGAAGACCGCGATTAGAAGGAGTCCCGAGGGAATTAGCAGTGCTAACAACATTAGGGGGGTTGTAGTTTCAGGAAGAGGGTTGGGAGGTGGCTGGCAGCTGTAGGCGAGGGTCGCGGTTGCTGTGAGAGAGTTGTTAGGTGGCTAGTGGCTATAGGGGAGGGGTTGCGGTGGTTGGAAGATGGAACAACAGCAGGGAAGGGGAAGTATGACTAGATAAATGTCTCATCAGAGTTGAGTTACAGTCGGAGCACCACCCAGACTCTTAGAGACGGTCACCAACTTGAACGAGGGATAGCTGGTGTACTTCCTCCCCATTGGATACAACCTTCGAAGGAAACAATGCCGATAGCGGCAATCTGAATTTCGGAATCGATTAACAACCATCTAACCTAAGGAAGCAAACACATATATATACAATTTAGGTTAGTAGATAAAAAGAGGCAAAAATTGGAGAAGGAAAGAAACTAGAAAAGTAAGGAATGAAACAGGAAAGGTTCTCCCCAAGGCAAGTACTGAATAGGAAAGAGAGGAAGGTGGGATCAGGAAAGGAAAGCAGGCGTTGAATAGGGAAGAGGAGGGAGGCGGGATCGGGAAAGGCAAGTCCCGCTCTAATGAGTGGGAGGGAGAATCGGTCCATCCGGCGCTTGTCCTGACCTGTCCAGCTGGTCTATGTTCTGGTCGGTTCAGCCAGCCACAGCCCAGCACCCACATCAATATGTCAAATTGCATTGCAGAGTTTTTTCAACAGTCACCCTGGTTGAGTCATAAATTGAAGTTATCAAAGAGAGTGGTGGAGCAAGGCGATAAAAATCTAGTTAGTTTCTCCAAGTTGGAAATGATTTTCTTAAGAGAATTAATGGAAAGTATGGAAAACTTTAAAAAGATTCTTTCCGATTTTATCAATCATAGTAAGCATAGGATCAGGCATCATGTGGATGGATTTGTTGGGCATTAAGGAGATGCCTGGAGATTATTAAATATACGGATGATTGAGAATTGTCTCGCATTAAACTAAGTTCTGTGACCAAGGAGTTTTGATCACAGTAGGGCTTGTTTTACTAAGCCATATTTTTTTGTGCCTGGGCATTTACAATATAGAGCAGAAGATACACCGATATTATGTTGAATAAATAAAATTATGACAGAGGAATAAGAACGTTAAAGTGCAAAGGCAAAAGTAATATGGATTGAAATTGTGCAAGTTGATTTTCATAAACTAGAGTTAGTACGGAAATCTTAAAGCTTAACATTACAAATGAATCTCATAACGGGCTCAAAGCAATAGGGAAAAAGCAAATTGTTTATGTTGTTTGCAGACTTGCTTATGGCTTGTCTCACTTTATCTATAAATGATTTCAGTCTTGTTTTGCAGTGAGCCCAATTTTCAGGCTTCAAACGCTTTTTTCTTGCTTTATTCTCTTTATATGCTTTCTATTGTTAAATTCCAAGTTGTCCATCTTCATACGATTTGATTTTCTATTATAAAGACTAAATACATTTGTTTGTGCTTCCTTTTTCAGACAGACACTAGAGAGCTGTCAGCAGAGAATTTACAGCTGTTGTTCAGATTGCAAGCTATGGAAAAAGAATCCAAGATGGATGATGGTAAGAAATTTATTGTTGTCCAGAGGAGATTGATGGATTTTTTTTTTCATTTCGTATGATTAAGTTTACATAAATAGTTCATTCAATGATAATTTTCTTTTTACATACTATGTCTTGTTTTCCATTACGGTCAATATTTAAATTGTGCAATTTGGTGTAAAGGTTTTCATTTGTCCGTGAAGCAAGGTGTAAGCCTTGAGATATTTTGAGGTGTAAGTCTCAAACTTAGAAAACTTGCATATAGGAAGAAGCGTTATACAAACTTGAAAGTATAAAATAATAACTAGCATATTAACATTCTGATATATTAATATATTAAAACGTAAGATATCAGTATTACAACAAAACTTTATAAAAAGGCAATCAAAATAAACTGAAGTATTCAACACAAGTTCCTTTCTTTCCTCCTGCTCATATTATTCTCTACTAAAGAATTTAACAAGCCATCAGCTTTAGAATTTTTTGATTTAAAAATCTCCATCACTCTTATCACTCAGTAGGTTTTCATTAAAATTATGTGCATAATGATCTCTTCTTCTTCATTCTCAGTTGTAACATCTCATTTTCAATCTCAACTATCTTTCTTTCCCCATTAATAATAATCAATAAAAATAGTAATTACTTTTTTAAATAATAATTATATTCATGGTTATATTTTCGTTTAAATATTTTTTATGGACACCTTTTTATTCATTTCTTACTGGCTTGTGGTTAACCTCTTGATCCTGATTTTATCTGTATAAAAAAAATCAACATTTAGATCATCTTTTTTACATATTGGATAGTCTTGGTTCATTGTTGTCATCTACAAGCCTTTTATTATCTGATGGCATGCCATTACAAATTATGGTGCCTTGATCATCGTTTAAAATTTTTTTCTTTCAATATCTATCATTTATTATGTTGCTATACATAATATGAACCAACAAGTTTATCTTTATGGTATTAAATTGGTTTGTCCTTTTTGGTATGAATTTGATTGTATGCACTTTTATTTTTCTCACAAACTAGTCACAAACATATAAGTTTTGATAAGTTAACAACAAATCATTGTAGCTGTGGAGTGTTATAACCAAATTAATTCCATCATTTAACTAAATTTGAAAAAAAAATGAAAATTATGAAAACCTTTCTTTATTTCAATTATTAAATATTAAGAATTATCCAAAGATATTTTATAATGATATGTTTGGCATGTTGTTGTTCAGATAATCTTTCCTTTTTTCTGAATGGGACAAGTTGCATATCAGCCTTTGCCCGCCTAGGTGATAGCTGTTACTCTATCCATACAATAACATTGCTGATGGTGGTTAACTATTATTGGTGAGATTAAGGAAGGAAAAAGGCTTTATATCTTTATTGTAATGTTTAAAGAAATATTCTGGAGTTTATGGTTGGGTGATGGGGCATTGAAGGGGGCTATGGTTTTTCGGTGAGGTAAATGGTTGGAAAGTTTGTTGATGGTTAGATTAGGATTTAAGTTCAATGTTGGAGTAGATGGTTAAGTTTAGTAGAGTTTATGTAGGAATTGAGGAGGAGAGAAATGTCTTGGTTTTTCCTTGTTTAGCTTAGAGCTTTAAGAGGGGTTTAACCGTGGGTGTGAAGTTTGCAATTGTTAGTAACTAATCTTTGAGGACATGAGAGGTTTTGATGGAGATGTGGGAAAAAAATTAAGTGGAGTTTAAGAGAATAGCAAGCAAAAGTAAATTTATAATAATGATAACCACTTTATCTCACCAATGAAAAAGTAAAATTTTACCATAAGCACCAAGGTTGGGTAATTCTTCACTCAATTTTTTCATTCAACAAAAAGATCATATTTATAAGAATTGTAAGTCTCTTCTGCTAAAGTTTTTAGAGGAAAAATTGCTGATGGCTTGGTTTACATTAATGAAAGAGAAGCTCCAAACACTTATTTTAAATACCTTTTTTATATTAAGATTGGCCATGCAAGCTTCTAGATAGAAAAGGACAATTGAAAAATAATAAAATTAAGATTACATAAATAATATTCTAAATTATAAGCCCTTTATTGGCTTGTACGTGGGTTTTAGTAGTTGGGCCTTCTTGTTATCTTTTTCTTGAGCTTTAACTTTAGCTCTTGTAGTTCAGCTTTTAACAAGTATTTTTTAATTCACATAATGTGTTAGATCACTCCCTTGGGCTTCATTAAACTATGCTCTGTGGTTAAAATCCAAGTACTCGCTACAAACTATGGGACTAGTCTACAAATTTGTGCGGGTCAGTTATTAGCATTTGATTTATTCTTCCAATGGACTCAAAAGATATTCTCAACAGTTGAGTTAATGAGTTAATGAGTGCTTACTTGGTGATGATATAGTCAACTTTAAAGAAAGTAAGATCCTTCATATGTGGAACTATGGCCTCGTTTGAGCGAGCGGTGCTCCTCTTTTCCGCTGCAGAGACCGCGATGAGAACACTCGTCATTCATTTGGCTGATTGACTTTGAGAATTGCTTCTATTGCAACGACAATTATGTCATTTTTGGATCGTGACATTGGAGCTCTGTTCTGTTGTTTCAAACCGACATTTCGCTGTCTCGAAAAATGAAAAGTAAAAGATACCCTTAAATTTCTTGCTTCACCGGCAATCTCTCAGAACCCCCTAATAGAGGAATGCAAGTCCCCTTTCCAAACATCTCTCACGGCTTCTACATTGATGGTCCTCGACCTAATAGGGCCAACACCCCCGTCAATGCCAATAAATCTTCTGCCAACGAACTTCTTTGCTATACTGACGGACGCCATCATCTCCGGTGTCGTGGAGGAAAATAATATAGGATCGCATGGGGTTGACGTATATTTCCAAAGGACCTTTGCCTCGTAAGTGGTGCTAGCACTACTCAGAAGAGATTCAAGGAATCAAACATCATTAGAACAGTGCATGGACTTTTAAAACATCTTTGAGCAAGAAAATCACCATGTTTAGATTACTCCAATTTACTAAACACTACTCGAAAATATTATTTTCTTATTAGAATTATTTTGTATTTGAATGAAGGAATTGCTGTTGAGACTCTTGCTGCTTGCAAAAAGTATTAAGGTTTTAATTTAATAATACTAGGATTATTGAAGCCTTTTATAATAAAAAAGATATAAGTAATAATGTTAAAAAGCACAAAAAAATTTTATTCAAACATAATATTGGATTTAACAACCATCGCTTTATATCACTGTTTATTCTAACGTTTTTCTTAGAAGAATTTTTTTGAAAGAAGCTCCCCCCTAACAAAGCTATGTCTTTTGCTAAAAAGTTAAGAGTTTTGCTAGCTTCTTCATATGATAAAATATATTCAATATTAATACAGGGTTTTTGGGGGGCGTGGAACAGATTAAATTGGTAGATATAGTTCCAATTTTCTTAAAAATTTTAAATAGGCTACAAATTCTTGGCTTCGTACATGTAATTTCTTGAACCTAATGGTGTGATTTCAATCAAGGTGAATGTGAATCCAAATATAGTTTAATTTTTAAATTTTTTTTGTTGCCTATTATGGTTTGCTTTATAATTATATTTGTCATTTTCTTGTAGTGGCTTGAAGGCTTTAAAAAATCTTTGACGAATAAAAAAGACTAATCAAAGAATGCACAAGACAGGTGGTTGACTACATCAATAGTTCAACTATATTATTTTAAAGAAGAAGCCTTTGTTATTCTAGAAATAATATTATTATATGAAATTCAGAGGTATGCATATGCAAGTCCTAATTTTTTCTTCTTTTTTTAAAAGACATTTCATTAGTTTTTCTTAAATTTTCTTAACTACCTAGTTTTTGGTAAAAGATAGACAAGATATTCAATTTAGTGCTAATAATTTCTATATAGTCTTCTAAAAATAGGAAATAATTTGAACATCGCGACCAGCGACCAGAGACAGTACTTGAATGTAGGCTAGTAAAAATATAAGTTTTTAACGGAACAATTTAGCAATGAGGGAAGCATCATTGGTTTTTGAACATGATAACAAATGATTTATTGAAAAGCGATCAATTATGAAAAATATGCTATTATGTCCTCGGGCTCTATGGGTCAATTATAAGAGAAAGTCTATTGGTAGTTTTTCTAAAGCCTGCAGGAAATAAGTAATTCAAATTATTGATCAAATTTATGTTTGCTGGCTTTGGCTTTTTTACAAGTCAATACTAAGCTACAAATTTTTGAATGCCTCGCCAACTAGATTGATTTTATATTGAATAGATGGTTTTATTTTTTCCAAAATTTATAAATTAACCTTAGAATGTGATTCAAATATTATAAATTCTCTAAGAGAAGTTCCAGGAATTTAAATGTATTTTTTCTTATATAGATATTCATTTATAATAGAGAATATTCAATTAGAGATAGAGTTTGTCTAATTTTTTTATATAATTAAGCTGAAAATCAAGACACATAGGGTACTTATCTTTATCTATTCAGATTTTGGATTTTTTTTTCTTTCTTTTGTTTTAGTTTGCTTATAATTAAAGAATAAGGATTTAGCATATCTATTAACTTTCAATGGATATTGATGAATTTGAGGGCATAATAGTCTTAGTTAATGCACTTTCTATGTAAAAGATAGTGACTTCAATAACATAAGACTCTGGTACTAAGTGATTTTCTTAACTTAAGATTCCTTTAATTTCAATTTCAAAAATTTTATAGGCAAATTTAATGTTTTTGAAAAAATGAGGTATCTTAAATATGGAGGAAAATATAATTAAATTTTTAATCTGATTTAAGGCTTCTTAGGATTTTAAAAGGTTTCTTGAATTTTAGGATATCAGTGTTGAGGATAGTAGCTGCACTAAAATTCTTAATGAATCTTCTATAAAAAATAGTTATATTGAAACTCTTAGGTAAGGGCCAGTCTTAGATTGCTTGACTTTTGAAAGGGTCAAATTTGATTCTAATAAATTTTAAAAATAATATTAGCTTCCAAAAAGACATTTTCAAGTTGATATATGATTGTTCTTTTTTAAGATTTCATAATCTTGTCTAAGGTGTTACAAATGATACGTCTCATTTCGGCTAAAATTTATGATGTTAGCAAAATAGACGACAAAAAAAAATTTCTATTAAGGATTTTATAATAGTGTTCATCAACCTCATAAATCTACTCAAGGTTTTTGAAAGTCTAAAGGGCATAACTAGCCATTTGCAGAATCCATCAAAAGTTTTAAAAATAATTTACTTGTCTTGTAATTGATTCCTCATATGTTGATAACCACTTTTAAATCGGTTTAATACAAAAAATTGGCCATTGAGATTAAATCCAACATATTATCTAGTTAAGAAATGTGAAATTTCTACTTGAAAGTTATTTTATGACCTGAATATCAATACCCATTTTCCACCTGTTACTCTTTTTAAGAGTTAATTAGGCTGAAACTGTATAAGAATTAAGACTTTCTTAAATGAATCATTTCTTATATCCTCAACTGCTCTCTTTACCTAGACATGCTTGATGGGGTTCATTCCATAATAGGGAAGATTGGTAGGTTGTAAACTTAGGACTGAATCAATGGCATGTTGAATGAATGTAAGATGGGGTACCATATTGGGCAATCCATCAGGTGCAGTATTGCTAAGCTTAGAAAGGATCTGAGATCATAACAAGTTTGTAAATTTTATCAGAATTAGGTGTTATTTCTTTTTTCAATTAATAAGCATATGGAGGATAGATGAGAAATCTCCTTTTTGTTGTTTCCAATTATGCAATCAGGTGTTATTTATTTTCCAATCTTTTTAGTTATTATATGCGATTTATTTTTCCTCATCCAACTCTAGTAATACCCTTCATAGTTCAACTTTTAAAACTTCAAATTCCCCTTCTTCAAACTCTATCACTATATGTTTTTGATCAGAAAATTTCAATTGACGATCCTATGTAGCTTTTAATTTATACCTTAAGATTCAAATTTTGTCAATAGATTCTTCAAATAATTGTGGACGATTAATTGTCTTTTTTTTTTTAAATTCAAACCAATTGAATAATGTTTTCCATTATATATTGCTTCATAAGTTGTCATTTTAACACTAGATTAAAACTTCTTGTTATACATGACATTGAGGATGAAATAGTTTATTGAGATGTACCCTTGTGCCCAAATTTTTACGAGTATTTGTTCACAATTTGGATGTGAATCGATCTTTTTTTTAAATACATATACCTTTACTATGCTATATAATCTAACAATTTCTTTCAAATATAACTTCTTCAGCTTTATTCTTGAATATCTTTCTGTGAGAAGTCGGGAGGGTGGGCTGGCCGGCCATCTCTTAGATCTTTGGAAATATAATTGGAGACAACATTGGAAACCCCTTGATCAGTTTTATTCTCTTCCTTTTTTTTTCATTATGTTTATTTCATAATTATTTCCTTTTCAAATTTAGATTAGTTATATTTGGTAAGTTTATAAATTAGGAGGAACTGATTTCCTTAATATGTATCTTACATGTGAATAATGGAAGTAAAAAAAATTTTCCTCCTAAAGTTTGCTTTTGACATGGTATCAAAGCTTTGAAACAAATCCTAATTTCCCTGTGTCGAAACCCAAATCCTCCAATCTCCTCTGCCGGCTTGCAGGCCCACCGAAAGCTCCTTTTCCCAGCAACCAACACTCTACTTGCCTATTGCAGGCCCCACATGCTCTTCCCCGCAACCGATAGTCATTTTGTAGACCCTTCTTTGTTCACCTGTACCGTCGGAATCCTTTCTGTAGCCAAAATTCTCTCTACTGCAGGTGCTGGATTCTTTCTGCAGAAACCTCTCCTTGCTGCCTAAAGCTCCCGTTGCAGGCCCTACTCTGGAAACCTCCTAAGGTCCCAACAGCAATAACAGCAGCAACCTGCTTCTTTCTTGCAGTAGCCAACTTCTCCCTGCAACAAGCAAAGACCCTAAACATGCATAGGATTTATGACTAACTATGGGATGAAGGCGGATGAGTGACGTGCTTCATTTCTTCCTTTTTTTTCCGGCGGTCATCCCCTCCAAGGTGGGATTTGTTCAAGGTGGCCTTGCAATGGTGGCCGATCCGATAAGGCGGCCACACATGTACTCATGCGTGTTTAGACATTAGGCTTAAATTAAATCCTTAAAACAGTTAAATTAATTTAAACGTTAGGCTTAAATTACTTAATTAATAATTAATTTATATAGGCAAATATTTAATAATTAATTTATATAGGCAAATATACTATATATATACACACGTGTGTGTTTACAAATGTGCATACAATGACCAGGCTTAGTTCCATCATCTAATAATGATGATTTATAATTCGACTCAGTTTTTTTTTCTTTCTTTCTGAAATATATGCTATATTAACCTTTGGGAAAAGGACGTTGCAACTCAGATTGTCCGAGTGTAATGAGTGGCATGAACTGTAATTTTGAAGAATGTTAGAAAGTTACAGTTAATGTGAATGCCAAACATAATTTAGGATAAAAAAAATGAAGAACAGGTATTCTTTCCTAATGTCTTATTCTCTCAAGTTTTAAGAAACCCCTGAATAACTTTTCTAATGAAACATTTTCTAATTTTTCCACTACTAGCAAAGAATGGATCCCTAAAGCATGAGGTTCTGTGGCTCAAGATCATAACAGGAGAAGCATCAAGCTCCAGCGAAGCCAACATTGTGGATAGATGCACGTTATCATTTGAGCCCTCCTCATTCTTCACAACTCCCCAACAACGTCCGAGCTTCGCCTGCCAACCCATTCAGTGGCAGCCCAATTTCCATCAGCCTATGTTACCTGCTACAAATCATCACTTACTTTCCCACCGCCCTCATTTTCACTTTGATATGATGCAGCAGGATCCCCCAAGGAACCTTCAGGGATTAGATATGGTTAAGGGGTCTCTTACAATGAAGTCAGAAAACTCCACCATTTCTGCAAGAGCATTACCATCTTCCAAACTGGGCTAGAGTAGACCTCTCTGTCCATGAACCACACAATTTCAATCTTTCTCCATCATCTGGTTCAGTGGTTCTCTTTGATTGTTTTGAATTGTACAAGCTGTTTCATATTTCTTTCAATGACTTGATTACGCAATTTTCTTCCACTTTACTTTGCTTCCAAACTTTTACTGGCTCCTGCATGAAGTGTTCTCATGTTCTTTTGATTTCCTTTCAATTTTTTTATTCATATGAGGGAGAGCTGAATTTTACTGTTTTTTACAGTCAAACTTGGGGTTTGACATTTTTTATTTTATTTGTTGATTTGTACCTCAGTTTATGAAAACATATCAAATTCATCTTACTGTTGATGAGGCTCTTTCTATTGTCATAGTTTGCATGCATATGACCCTTTACATTGATTTGCAACAACAATGATGATCTTATGCAGCTATATGCTATACTGTGTACTCTTTTTTTGAGAAGTTTTTTTGGATTAATATGCTTACTAACATTGCTATTTTCCTCTTATCATTGCTGAAGCGAATTGGGCAGTTTATTTGAGCCCACCATCGATCATTATTTTGCATCGTCTTCATGATTAATCTCCTCTTTTCCACTACTTATTTGAGCCGGCCAAGTAAGTGGCCCAATAATCATGCAGTCGGATCTCCGACATTCAAGGTTTCAAGCCCAATTTAATGCTTAAAAAAATATAAAAAAACATTGTAGTAACTTTGGTAAAAGCAGCTGCAGAGCCTTCATTTGACTCGATACCAATGAATGCGCCAATTTGCCTATTTTAAGCCACATTTTAAGATTATTATAATGCATTTAATTACATATAAGACGATTTAATATTTTTTGCATGGAAGATTAGTCGTTTGGGTAGCATTTTGCTCAGAATTGTAGAATCATTCAAAGTGAAGTACATGTATATATATA